GCAGCAGCCAGCGCACAGGGAGCAGCTGTTTTGTGGGTTTATATTTGTCTCTCCCAGAGGGTGGGAGCTCTCCGAAGGCGCTGTGAATGCTTTTAAAGACGTGCGGGCAGAATTTGAGTGCTACTACTGCGCTCACACAGAACGGGTTCCCCAGTTCCCAGGCATGCCACAAGTGCAAGGCAGAGCCCATCTCGTCAAGTCCAGGGGCAGGATGTGGCTTTAGGGATCCCTCAGGTGAGGCTCTGTGCAGAGAGCATCCTGGATGCTGTCCAAACTGTCCTAACTGCTTGGGGTGTAGTTATTCCTTCCAAATAGATGTTTTTCCTAAAAGAGGCAAGGCAGCAAACATTGGAATGAGAACGCAGGCATCCTCAGAGGGTATCCTTGGGAAGCATCTCCCTTCTGGCAGCACAGGGTGAGCCTTAGCTCATCCTGAGCTAAGGGATATGGCAGGGAATACCCAGATCATCACCTGCTGGTGGCTGCTCCGTGTTGGTGATCTTCCAGCCCTTTTATTTGGATCAGATGGAGCCATCCCGTGGGTGTTCCCTGTGCCTCAGATGTGCCAGGAGCGCTGATCAGCATCAGTCAGTGAGCTGCAGGCAGCACAACAAACCTGGTATTTGATAAGGATAATAAGGTGCTGCAGATAGGCTACATTGCATGTTGTAATTAGCAGAGGAGCTGCTGGGTGTGGAAGAAGAGATGACTAAATCCAGGGATGCCATCCCTCCATCTGTGGTGGTTTTGTTGCCAGCTGGGTGCAGCCAGGGAAGCCGGTTATGGCTCCATATGTTCCAATTGCCTCTGTCTTTGCTTTCCAGTTGTATGTGACTTGCTCGTAGAAGTTGTGCTTGCAAGAGGATTGAAATTCTGGGGGGCAAAATGTGCCCTGGGCAAGGGCATCTGGCCTCGCTGTAGTAAACCTGCTCATCCCCAGGCACTGGGATTTGGGAAACACCCCTTGTCCGTGCTCACCCACCAAACTGTTTTTCCAGTGGTCGGCTTGGGCAGTGGGGGTGAAACCAGTTTCCAGTGGGAATGCAGCCGAATAACATCACCTGCCTCTGGAGGAGCTTCTTGTCTTTGTGTCCTAAACGTGCTTTCCTTGCCAGGCTAAAGAGATCCTCACCAAGGAATCCAATGTGCAAGAGGTACGCTGCCCCGTCACCGTCTGCGGGGATGTCCACGGGCAGTTCCACGACCTTATGGAGCTCTTCAGGATCGGTGGGAAGTCTCCAGACACAAACTACCTGTTCATGGGAGACTACGTGGACAGAGGCTATTACTCTGTGGAGACAGTGACTCTGCTGGTGGCGTTGAAGGTACGGCTTGGGAGACTGGGGATAAAACCTGGGAGCTGGGAGCCATTTTCTCCTCCTGGCGACGCTGCTGTTGGCTCGGGCATAACGGGTGTAAACGGATCCGTGTCAGCAGCCACGTGCTGGGAGCAGAGCGCTTGGCAGTGCTGGTGATATTCCATCACTCCTTGTTTCCGTGCTGAGGAGGCGTTGTGTGCCCCCCAGGTGCGGTACCCGGAGCGCATCACGATACTGAGGGGCAACCACGAGAGCCGGCAAATCACGCAGGTCTACGGCTTCTACGACGAGTGCCTGCGCAAGTACGGCAACGCCAACGTCTGGAAGTACTTCACAGACCTGTTTGATTACCTTCCTCTCACAGCTCTAGTAGACGGCCAGGTGAGTCTGGGATGAGGAAAGCCCTCCCTTCCGTAGATTTCTGCAGGCTGTGTTGTCTGACATCCACAGGAACGGTCCCAGACAAGCTCCTGTGACTTGTGATCCCGGGTGAGATGGCTGGGGTGGTGTGTATGAGTGTTGACAGGGTTAGGCCCAGCTGGTTTGGAGATCATTCCTGCTGCTAAATGGATTGCTCTTTTCTTCCTGGAACAGATATTCTGCCTCCACGGTGGCCTCTCTCCATCCATAGATACACTGGATCATATCAGGGCTCTGGACCGCCTGCAGGAAGTTCCACACGAGGTAGGAAAAGAAATGCATCGGAAACTTAACATTTGCATTTTCCACCAGCAGATATTTTTCTCACATTGCAGACCATTTAAACATGTGGTTACACATGGATTATGGCCTTTCCAGGAGCTAGAGCAGATGAACATTTGGACAAAGCACACATAAGTCAGTGTGCTTTGATTACAGCAGCCTACATGAGGAGAGCTGTGGGGGTTTCACAGCTGTTTTCCCCAGAATCGTGGGAGTTTTGGGCTTTCAGTCTGACTCAAAGAGCAGGATTTGGCAGGGGAGGGTGTTTACTATCTTCAGCCTCCTCACTGATGTGGTTGTGAACTTACAACCCCCATGTGTAGCCACACTGTATCACCATCCTTCCTCCCCAGCCAGCCCAGCCTCCCTCCTACGATGTTGCACCTTGTTGCAACTTCCTGGGGCCTGAAATCTGGGCTGAAATCCGCACTTGGAGCTCCCCGGGGCAGCTGGAAGTGGTATTGGGAGTGGCTGGGGCTCGCAGATGTGTGCTCAAGTAAAAACTCCTCACGTGCCTTGCACCGGGCAGGACGTGCTGGCAGTCTTGCTGCTGTAAATAAAACATGTTTAAGCACCTTGCCAGTGATGTAACAGAGCTCCTAATCTTTGCCAAGGGTCCGATGTGTGATCTGTTGTGGTCGGATCCGGATGACCGCGGCGGCTGGGGCATTTCTCCACGTGGTGCTGGCTACACCTTCGGGCAGGACATTTCGGAAACCTTTAACCACGCCAATGGGCTCACACTGGTCTCCCGCGCTCACCAGCTGGTCATGGAGGTAGGGCAAGCACCCTGCCAGCCAGGGCTGGCAAAACAGGGGGTCTCCTCTGGGACACCTGCCACTCACAGGTTTGTTGGCACCTAAATCTCACACAGTACCAAAGAGAGGCTTTAGCCATGCGAAAACAGCAGCATCAAGTGACGTGCTTTGACCTGCAGCCTAAATTAAGGGGATGTGTTCTGGCCTTTCCAAGCAAATTTCCCCCTCCGAGTAAATTGCCAAAGGGGCCGTGTCACGCCCCGTTTGTAATCTTCTTACATGCTGGCTTGTTCTTGCTCTGGCTGCTGCTGCCTGTGCCACGGTGCTCAGCAGTCAGATGTGACGGGGATTATGCCATTTTTGGCTGTCGACAGGCTATTCTTGGATGTCTTGCTGGAAAAATGCCAGGTGGGTCAATGGAGCAGATGCCTTGTTAAAATCTAGTGCAGGTAGCTCCCTTAAGCAGAACCGTGTGTCAGAAGTCACTGGCATTCAGCAGGCAAATTGTCACTTGTGGTGGAGGAAAGCTGAAGGCATCCCTAAAAATCCCAAGGCTTTTTAGTGGTGCAGTCCATAATTTACAAGTGAGGAGTGCATGATCTCCTGTAGGCTGCTCAAAGCTGGTTTGGCCAGGTACCTGCTGCTGCTTCTTGTGGCAAAGCACGTATTTTGAAACAAAACTAAGTTGGAAATACTTCAGGAAATCTGCAGTTTCACAAGTGCCTCAGAGAGTTTCAGGCCTGAAGAGGAACTTTGGAGGGGCTGAGGTTTAACAGAGACCTTTTGTTTTTCTCTCTCTGTCCCTGGCAGGGTTATAACTGGTGCCACGACCGGAATGTGGTTACCATCTTCAGTGCCCCCAATTACTGCTACCGCTGTGGGAACCAGGCTGCTATCATGGAACTAGATGACACTTTAAAATATTCCTTGTGAGTATGCTGCCATGGGCTGGGCTCTCTTTCTAGACACTCTGTGAGGGTTCTTCCATGAAAAGCCAGCTCAGACCACTCTGGAGTTAATGTGTGCTCTGCATTAGAATAAGCAGTGAAGTTAAGCTCCTAAAAGCTTCTCTTCCTGGCTGTCTGGAGAGTTGGAGCTGTTGCATTTCCATCTCTTTATTGCCTCAGCTTGATGGAGGGAGTAAAAACACATGGATTTGTCTGTTTTCACCTTTGGTAGCACTGAGCTGTGTAAGATGGGGGAGAGGATCTGAATTGTGCTTTCAGCTGCTGCCGTGGGAAAGCAGTGACGGGCTGCTGGGTCACTCTGAGTTTTAACTCCCGTGAGTTCTTCTTTTGGGGCTTGGAATGCTTGGTGAAGCAGCCTGGTGTTTTATCGTGGCAGTGGAAAATGACTTGTGGAGGAGGAGGGTAAGTGATCCCTTTTTCTTTCCTGCAGCCTCCAGTTTGACCCAGCACCTCGTCGTGGAGAGCCTCATGTTACCCGTCGTACCCCAGACTACTTCCTATAAACCTCTCCCAGCCTTTGTAGAAGGAAGTACACCTGGCATTTTAAAAGAGCAACAATATTTACACGTTTCTGTAAGAAATCAGGGTTGGTCTCAACTCAAATCCCCATCATGGACCAAAATGTGCCATACAGAGGACGAAGAGCATTTAGCACAACTTGAGACTGAATTCCTTACGACACTCTCTCTGTCCCATGCCCATCAGCCCGAAAGTCAGTTTGCCTGCTGTATTTGTAGTCATTGTTTTCCTTCTGGACTGTTCAGAGAGGAAAAGGTAACACTTTAACAACACTCATCTCCTCTGACGCTTCTTTGTACATTTTTAGTTCTAGTGTTTAACTGGCATGAATTAGAGTTTGTTTTCCAGGGAAGTGCACACTAACTTCATCCCCCACCACTCTTTATTTTATTGGAAAGACCGCTCAACTTAACTGGAGAAAGGAAGTGATTCCTGCTTGGGAGTACGTTGTCATAACCCAGATAGAAGCGTTCCCTTTTTAGCTCTATTCCCGTTCCGTGCTGATCCTGCCCCCTTTTTTTTTTTTTTTTTTTATTGTTTTGGGGTATTTTGTTCATTTTGTTTTCTCTTTTGTTATTCCCCCCTTTCCCCTCTGTATATTTGTCCTGGAAGTGCTTGCAATCCTCCTCGCTGTACCTGAACCAATAAACTCGCCGTTGTCAGCCCCAACACGTGGTGTCGTGCGGGACCGGGGCGGGCCGGGGGCGGTCCCGGGGCGGGCCGGCGGGGCCAGACCGAGCCTGGAGCGATGGCGGCGGCCGCCTACGAGCTGCTGGTGCTGGGCGGCGGCTCCGGGGGGCTGGCGGGGGCCCGCCGGGCGGCCGAGCTCGGCGCCCGGGTGGCGCTGGTGGAGCCGCAGCGCCTCGGCGGCACCTGCGTGAGTCTCTTGCGGGTGGATCCCCCACCCCGGGCGGGGAGGGACGCGGGGCCGGTGCCCCCTCGCTGGCCCCGGTGACTCGGGGATGGTGGCGGGGCGACCGGGGAGGGTCGCGGTGCGGGAGGCGGGAGAGGAGGAATCGCGCTGCCGGTGTCCGAGCGTTGTGCAAGGATCTGCCTTGTCAGGCTGGAGCAGGACGGATCCCAGTCCCCCGTCTCCACTGGTTTCTTCCTGGCTGTTTCCAAGCCGTTTTCAGGCGGGTGCCAGGGTGCCGATGGATCCTGGATCTGTGTAGCACAGCTGCAAGGCAGTAAAGCAGAACTCAAGAGCGTGGTGAGCTGGTAATGAGCCAAAAAACAAATTGGTTCCTCAGACAAGCCAGGGCCAGGCTCTAATTTTATGCCCTAAATGCATTCTACTGGGAAAATTACCATATTCCCAGAAGTGCAGGCAAGGGATGGCAAACACCTTTCTGCTACTAAGTAATTTTTAGAGTATCAGTGGAAAAAACCCCTGGGTTTGAAGGCTCCACCTTCCATATTCTCTTTCAAGGAAGTGAAGGAAAACGGGCAAACCGCAAGACCTTGAGCCTCCCAGGGCGGTTACACCCCTCTTTTTCCAGGAACCCCTAATCCTGCCTTTGTTTTCCTGAGCCACTGCTGGGATGCAATGCCAGCCCGATGAGGGATGCTCTCTGGAGCACTGCCTTGAGAAAACTGGGCCTTGACACTGAGACTTGCTCTTATTCCCTCCAGGTCAATGTTGGATGTGTGCCAAAGAAGGTGAGGCTGTTCTGCCGCCGGCTCCGGTGGTGTGGGCTGGGTCTGGTGTGGCTGCCTGCCAAATTTTAGCGAGGTGCTGGCACAGGGTGTGGGGAGGAAGCAGGGCCTCGGAGGGGATTGATGCCGTGGGCCCTCCGGGCAAAGGTGAGGAGCCAGGAAGGCTGGCAGGGGTTTTCCCAGAATGACAGCAGTGTTCCTGAGCCAACCTGGAGTTTGCCTGGGCAGGTGATGTGGAACACGGCGGTCCACGCGGAGTTTGTCCACGATCACGCTGACTATGGCTTTGAGACTGCGGGGGTCAAGTTCAACTGGAGGTAAGAACGGGAACCAGTTGGGAACCAGCATTTTCCAGTGAGTGTCCCACAGGGAACAGCCCTCTGTCCACTTCCAAGGGGTCCCTGCCCGCTTCCAGGCTCCCGTGGGCTGTGCAGAGCTGCTTACAGGACCAGCTGTGTTTTGGAGAACAGGGAGCCAACCTGGCTGTGGGAAGAGACTCTGGGAAACAGAAACACAGGGAAGGCAGGCACAGAAATCTTGCTTTGGTGGGGAAAGGGTCACAAGGAGCTGTTTTATCTCGTGGCACGCCTGCCACGTGCCAGAGGGGTTGAGTTCACGGAATCATTAAGGTTGGAAAAGACCTGTGAGATCACTGAGTCCAACCTCTGACCGAACTGGACCATGGCACAGAGTGCAAGGTTTTTTCTGGGCTCTGAGGTTCATCTGCTGGCAGTGATGGCATTCCCTGCTCTGTTCCAGGACCATCAAGGAGAAGCGTGACGCGTACGTGCGGCGCCTCAATGACATCTACGAGAACAATGTGAAGAAGGTGAGCGTGGGATGTCTTTATCCTGCAATCCCAGTGGCAGAAGTGATGGATTTTTGGGCACTTTTCCAGCCCTAATGGGTGTTCTCCGACCGTGGAAGCCCTGGCTCCATTAGCTGTCTCCTGATCCCGCTGTTAACCCTGTAACTGTTATCCCTCAGGCTCACATTGACATCATCCGGGGCTATGGCAAGTTCACCTCTGATCCCGAGCCAACCATCGAAGTGAATGGGAAAAAGTACACGGCTCCTCACATCCTCATAGCCACGGGAGGGCGCCCGGCCGTCCCTACTGACAGCGAAATTCCCGGTGAGCCTGACGAAATCCCCCGGGCTCCCAGGCTGGGAGAGGTCTGCCCAAGAAAAGCAGGCTTGGGGAGGGGAAGGGGGACAGCTGAAGGCTGCGAAAGCATCTCTGCTTTGCAGGTGCCAGTCTGGGGATGACCAGTGACGGCTTCTTTGACCTGGAGGAGCTGCCCAGGTAAAGTGGGATCCATCCCCCCGCAGCCACCGGCGCCATCTCCAGGTGGCTGCACACGGCGTTGTCACTTTGTCACAGGCGCAGCGTCGTTGTCGGGGCCGGCTACATCGCGGTGGAGATGGTGGGGATCCTCTCCACACTGGGCTCCAAGTCCTCCCTGCTCATCCGCCACGACAAGGTAGTGCCAGCCCCTGTCCCCAGCTGCGCCTCCCGCCCCGCTGCCACAACCCTTTTCTGGTGGTCAGAGTGATCTCTGGCTGTCAGTTCCCAGTAACTCAGGGTCTGAGTTGGCACGGGAATAGTGATGCAGGGGATGGTGGCATGGCAGCCATGGAGAGGGAGGGGGGACATGTTTTAGCAGCACCCACCCACGTTCCCAGCGTTTCTGCGTGTCATCGCATCCATCCCCTCGAGCTTTATTTCAAGCCACGACTTGAAAACGGGAAGAAAGGAAAAGCAAATAACAGAGAAACAAACAGAGAAGTTTGTTAACCAGGAGCACCCCAAACCTCTCGGGTTCCAGGAGCAGGGAGATGCCGTTGGAGGGGCTGCCAGGTGGTGCCTTTGCCTGCAGACCCTCCTCTGACAGGGCTGGGGGGATCCTTGCTCAGGTGCTGCGAACCTTTGACTCCCTGATCAGCTCCAACTGCACCCAGGAGCTGGAGAACATCGGGGTGGATGTCTGGAAGCACACACAGGTGGGAAAGCACAGAGCAGCCCTGTGGCTCATCCTGTCCCTCCTGCAGAGGCAGGGCTGGGGGAAGGCTGCTGTTTTGGGTGCTGCTTGCTGAGCCGTTGTTTTGGCAACACCCCTGCTTCTGCAACATGGCTGCCGTCGCTTGCTGCAAGGCAAAAGCCATCTGCACCTTCTCCCGCTGCTCCTGTTCCCCTTAGGTCAAGAAGGTCACCAAGTCTCCACGTGGGCTGCTGGATGTGACGGTGGCCTCGGTGGCACCCGGCCACAAGCCGAGGGAGGAGGTGATCCGGGACGTGGACTGCCTGCTGTGGGCCGTGGGGCGGGAGCCCAGCTCCGACGGGCTGGGCCTGGACCGAGTGGTGAGATTGCAGCGCGTCCCCTCCGTCTCCTGCTCCGCGTCTCTGGGTGTCCCACGGGTATTTGGAATTCCCCTGGGTCTCCAGAGCCTGTCACAGGTGCCCCATGAGCCCTCCCATCCCTGTTGGAGCATATGTGGCTGCTGTTTCCCCCGGCAGGGCGTGCGGGTGGACCCCAAGGGCCACGTGCTTGTGGATGAGTACCAGAACACCACCAGGAAAGGGATCTATGCCGTGGGGGATGTCTGTGGGAGAGCCCTCCTCACGCCAGGTACTGCAGTGTGCCCCCTCCCCTGCTGCGCCCCGCGGTGCCACAAGGCTCAGGCGGCCTGTCCCTCCCGCAGTGGCCATCGCGGCTGGCAGGAAGCTGGCCCACAGGCTCTTCGAGGGCAAGCAGGACTCCCGGCTGGACTACGAGAACATCCCCACGGTCGTCTTCAGCCACCCGCCCATCGGCACCGTGGGGCTCACTGAAGGTGGGGACAGAGGGGGCGAAGGGGCTGGGGACGCTGGCTCAGAGCTGCTGCTTGGATCTCCAGCAAGCGAGCCTTGACAAAAGGGCTTCGACTCCTCTTTTGGAACGCCCCGTGTGCATCCCTCTGAGCCCTGTTCCGTGGCTTCTGCTGCAGAGGAGGCCGTGGCCACGCATGGGAAGGACAACGTGAAGATCTACAACACATCCTTCACCCCCTTGTACCACGCTGTCACACAGAGGAAGGTGAAGTGTGTCATGAAGCTGGTGTGCGCTGGCAAGGAGGAGAAGGTGAGTGGGGGGCACGGCTGGGGGGTGGTGGGGACCACGGCTGGCTGTCCTCGTGTCCCCATGTGCTCAGCTCTTGGGCTGGGATCCAGACCCTGGATTCTGGGTCCCACCTGGCCTCTCGCTTCTTCTCCAAAGGTGGTGGGGTTGCACATGCAAGGACTGGGCTGCGACGAAATGCTGCAGGGCTTTGCCGTGGCCATCAAGATGGGCGCCACCAAGGCCGACCTGGACAACACCGTTGCCATTCACCCCACTTCTGCCGAGGAGCTGGTGACACTGCGCTGAGCCTGCGGGCGCCGGCGCCCCGGGAATGGCAAAACTGTCTGCCGTGTTTTCCAAAGTGCCTTTGCCTGCAGGGTGTGGCTGTAAGGTGGCTGTGGCTTGCTGTGGAATGAGAAGTAAACGCCTTGATGCTGGCCAGTCTCTGCCTTTTGCTCTTGGTGCCCGTCTGCCAGCCGTGCAGGGTGCTGGCACGGTCCTTGGATGTGGTTTGGGAGAAGGCTGGCAGCGGCCAGGCTCCTCCTCTGCAGTCCCTGGCACTGGGGCTGGGCAGGGAGCAGCGGAGAGGGGCAGGACAGGGAGTCCTTGGGGTGTTCTGGGGTATCCTGGATGGGATCCATCCTCCTCTTTATCTCATGTCCCAGCACCACTGGCTCTCCAGCTTGTCCTGACATCACAGGGGGAGCCCAGGCTGTGGGTTCAGGGACCAAATTCCCTGTTTCCAGCCCCATTTCCAGCAGCTGGAAGCTCAGACTCAGCTGGGAAAGGAAGAGGCCTGAGTTGTGTGGGGTTTTGGGGATCAGATCGGGGCATCCCACAGTGAGCCTGGGCCAGGCACCTTCATGTCCTGGAAACAGGGACCGAGGCCTGTGTTTGGAGGGCACCAGGCTCATTTGGCTAGTTTTAGGATCCTGTAATAAATAAATAAATCAGGCTTTTTTTTTGGCTCAGAAATGAGGCAAGTCCACGTTGTTGGCACTTGGAGTAGGCACCGGGCAGCCTCAGGGCTGTGAAACAGACTCCAGCCCTGTCTGGGGAGTGCGAATGGAAGCTCATCCAGGCACTTGAGGGCTTTGGTCAGAGAGCCCAAATCCTGAGTTTTGGGGGTCGGGGCGGACCCCAGGCTGTGAGACACGGTGGGACCTGGGCATGGAGTGAGGCAGTCCCAGGTCCGGAGCGGAACCGGGAACATTTGTGCCTCTGGAGTCGCTCCCCTCCTTTCCCCTCCATGCCCCTCTATCACCCAGATGCTCTTTGCAAGGGAAAAATAGAAATTATGCCACGGACAAAAGCATTGACAGCAGAACTGGACAGAGCTGGGCAGTGTGAGCAGCCCGTGGAAGTCAAACCGGTGACCATCCAGGGGGATTTTAAATCGGATACTGCAGGTTTCATCTCGCAGGAACTCCAGTTTTTTTGGCACCTCTTGCTTATATGCTTCCCTGTTGGAAGAGGTCAATTAGTCTTTTTAATGACCAGATTAGCCAGCACAGGGTAAAACAGCCAGCATTTCCTGAACACCTCCATCACTTCCACATCCATCTGCACCCAGGGGCCGATGGAGAGCAGCTCATCCTGAACAGGCTCCGAGGTGGGACTGGATGACCCTTGAGGTCCAAACCAAACCGTTCTGGGGTTCCATGGACGCTTCCATGAGCTCTCCCGGCCTTTATTTCGCATCGTGTCCTTCCTTCTGCTCCCAGCAGATGGTGCCGCCGGCCTTTAGAAGGGATGGAAGTGTCCTGGGACAGGGAGCCGCTTTTAAAACGAAAAGGAAAATATTCTGCAGGAAATCCGTGATGAAGATTCCATGCTGACGTTCCACGGGGGAAGCAGAAAGCGATTCCCTGCAAAATTCCCTGCGTTGTGGTTACGTTGTTGCTTCCACGAGTAACACCTCTCCATCTGAAGCTCTTTGGATTCCCAAGTGAACTCGCCACCTTTTGGGCTTCCAGGCAGAGGGAATGTGAACGTGGGGAAGTGATGGGGAGCAGGGAACTGCAGCAGGGTGTGTGTGTGTGTGCAGGGAGAGCTGGGGTAGGAATTCCAGACAAAATCCTCTTAGCTGGATGCAGGGCCTTCAGGATGCTCTCTTGGTCAGAAGTTTCTCTATCTGTGGCTTTTTTCTGCATCCAGCTCCGGGCCCCCAGTCCTGGATTCTGGAATTCCATTCTGCTGCGTCACACAGGGCAAAATTGCCCTCGCTGCAATGTCTGTGTGTGGCTGGAGCTTCTCAGCCTCCACTTACAGCACGTGATGATTCCATATGGTTCCACGCTGAGTTATGCTGGAAAAGAATTTTATGGTTTAGATTCATATTGGGATAATTGTTTGTTCTCTGGAATTTACATGATTTGTTAAAGGATTGATTTTTAAAACTATGCCAGGAATTAAAAGGGGAGTGTAAAAAATAGAGAATTTATTCTTATTGAAGAATGGTTTCCTACATCCATGAAATCATTAATTGGAAGCCTGTTCTCCCAGAAGCTCTCCTTGGGATGCTGTTTTTCTTTCCAGGACCTCCTTGTGCTGCCCGGGGTGGGCACGGAGCAGTTTGGGGACACTGGGGGTGGCAGCAGGTGCTCCTGAGCCTCTGCCTTTGGGATTCCTGCCCCCGTGTTGCAGGAGAGCCAATCCACCTGGGCTGGCAGCTGGAGCACTCTGCAGAGCTCCAGGATTGGGAAAAGAAGATCCAGGGGCTGTTTGTTTGTTTTTATCTCAGTGACCAAGACGAGTTCACATCATTTTAATTTGCTCTTTTATCAGTAGCAGATAACTCCAGTAGGAGGGAAGTGTCTGGAGCTTGAAGTAGCCTTTAAATCCAAGCCACACTGCTAAGTCTAAAATGCAGTGAGATCGGTTTGGGGTGTTCTGTTGGGAAAAGGGATGTAAAAAAGTGTAACTCTGAGCATTTCCTGAGGCTGGCAGGTAAGATGGCACCTTATCCCAAAAGAATGGACCTGTGCTGCTGGGTTTTTTTTTTCCCAAAAGAAAATCCTAGCAAGGAAAACTTACTTGCAGTCCTTGCTGTGTGTTGCAGCTGTCATTTACTGAGCAGAATTGGCTTCAGCTGGAGTCAAACCAGGAGGTTTCCGAGGTAACCTCCCAGCATGTCAAATTCCTGACATCAATCAGAGGTGCCTATCCAGGTAAGGCTTAGGATTTGGTGTTAATTCAAATCGAGTCACCGAGGCAGCAGCAAATGGAAATTCAAGAGCACCAAAAGGATTCAAATCCTCAGAGCAGGTCACAGGGGAAAAAAAACCAAATTAATTAATGAGTACCTAAAGTCCCTGTGTGGACGTGGATGGTGATGTAAAAGGGAAGAGTCAGAAGGTACAGGGAGAGTTCAGCCCTTCCACAGCCATCATCCTTCTGGAGAGGTGACACTGGTGTCACCTTCACAGCCAGTTCTTCTCCTCTGCAGTTATTTAAGACTCGAGGTGTTTCCTCTGGGCAAATCCAGCATGGGGCTGTGCTGGAGTGCTCAGGATCCAATCCTACAGGAGCTCAGCTCTTCTGCCCTTGGGCCAGGCAGGCTGCTCTGCCCAATTTCCAGCGAGGCACAATCCAATATTCTGCATCCCAGGAGCTTGGGTGGGGGGTTAAAATGCTGTTTATTGTGACAGGCTCATGATGTGCCCAGGCTGTGGGCTGTCTGTGTCTCACAGAGGGCACTGGCACTTCCTGTGCTAAAAGAGATGGAAATCAAACAATTATGTGGCTCTTGCTGGTGCAAAGAACCCTTGTGATGTGCTCTGCGCGCTGGGATTGGTTTGGTTTTTCCTGGCTTTCACCTGGCAGTGATGACAGGATCCTCTGTGCCCCCCATTTTTTGGGGTGGAACATAAACTGGAAAAAAGCTGTGGCCAGTCCAGATATTTCCTGGGGTCCCTGCCCAGTTTCCAGTGATGGAACTGCTACTTGGAAACTGGATCCTGGGAGGACTTGAGTAATTTCCTACTGGAAGCTTTTAAAACAGGGACTTGCTTCCAAGGTAAGGCAGCTGAAATCTTATTGCTTGCCAGGCTTCTCAATAAAGTGGTGGCATAAATGTGCCTGGGTGTGGAAATCTTACTTTAACCTGATCTCAGGGAGCAGTTGGCTGAGGTTTTAGTTAAGATTTAAAACAGCCTCTGACACATCAAATAAAAAAAATGTACATTTAGAAGCTTAAAGGTTGACTGAGCACAAAGTAAAAAAAAAAATGTAATGACAAGGAATAGGTAACAGCCTTGGCTCTCATGAAGTAGGGTGGAAATTATATATAAATATTCCTATATATATATAAATACAGAGCCATAACCAACTTGCTGTGAATGCCTCACCTTCCATTTGCATCTCCTGATTTACATTTACAATTTGGCTTTGGGGTGAAATGTTTTTTATTCCCAGCTCCAGTGGATGAGTAATCTGCAGCTGAGTCTGGTGTTTATTACATCCATCCCGCTGATAGCCTTGCTCTCCACCATTTGAAGTTTGAGATCTTTTTAAAAGAAATAGCCACAAACTATTTTCTTTGGCCCCAGCTCAGGCTATGCAGATGAATGGCTCTGAGGGGAGGATAAGCAGTTTAGGCTCATGGAGAGGAGATGGGTGTGCAGCTCTGAGATTGGCACAACTCCCTGGGATTGCCCATTTCAAAATGAGAAATTTGCTTCTCAAGGCGCACTTGTTTTTCCTTATGAAAGTAAATGTCAGTAAGAAAAAAAAATTATTGGAGTGCAACTGGCTGTTTTTGGGGTGTGTTTTCTTCCACAGCTCCTTTCTCCCAGCTGAAAACCTGCTGGGATATTTTGGCTTGTTTGGAGATGAACCACTCTGAGGTATGCCATATAAAACATCATGGAAATATTGATGGATGAAGAAGTTAAACACTTGAAGAGTAATTTCTATTACCTTAATTCACAAATATCCCCAGAGTCCCCAGCTCATGACCCACACAAACACCTCCTGCACCATTCCCTGTGGAACTGGGAATGGGGGGTTTGGGGTGGCTGCAGCTCCCCCTTGCTCTGAAGGAGAAGCCAAGATGAGCCCAGATTGCCAGGGGCTGTGCATGGGATCCCTGTGGAACAGCATTTCAGGTTTCCAGTCAGTGGTTCCCTTCCTGGTGCCCCGAGGCAGAGGAAGATCCATGAATTTCTCTCTCCTTTATTTCTCAGACACTCACAGACCAATGTCCTGTTCTTTTTGCCTTCCTTCAGGGGCTGTGGTTTGCCCCTGGGACTTTCTCACCTTTCAGCAGAGCAGGATAATTTTCCAAGGTCCCTGGGAAACCTCTGTTGTTGTGCCATTGCTGAGCTCAGGACAAGGGAAGAACAAATTTTTTAGCACTTAACCACGTAGAATGTTCTTCATGTACAGCTACATGCCCTGCTGTTCCTTCCACCTCTGAAGTTTCCATATTTTTGTTTCAGCCTCAGAGGATTCTCTGAGGGTATTTCACACATAAGAGCCTCCTGTTTTTGGGAACCCAGTGTGGGTTGGGGCATTTTTCACTCAGGGAGCCTCCCAATTTATTCCTTTGCACATTTTCTCTGGTGTGTGAAATGAAGGAGGGAGGCCTTGCTCTTATCAAGTTACCACGTGGAAGCAAGTTACTGTTATTTATCATCTTATAACAATTATGAATTGCATATTCTTTTTTTTTTTCCTTTTCTTAGATGATTTATGTTTCTGTCCTCAGGCTCCTGTGAAAACACCAGGCACTGGCTTAATTTCTCCTTCCAGCCAATCCTCCTCCCCCTCAGCTTCAGGATAATAGAAATCCGTGGAGCTTTTCCATTTCCTGTCATCTGCAGCGTTGGTGCAGCCACTTCCCTACGCCTGCCACAGCCACAATTTCATTAGTGCAACTGGGATGAGACTCAGCTTCAGTTTTGCCTCAAGGCTGTTTACAACTTCTTGTTCACCAAGCTACGGACAAAAACTATTCCAGGGATCATTACTGAGGAGATTAGCAGATGCTGCCTCGCAACACAGTGTCAGAAGCAGAGAGAAAACACAAAGTATGTATCCAAAATAACCATTATTCCTCCTGCTTTCAGCGTGATAAGGGACAGCCCTGTCATGGCATGAGCAGGAACTTCTGCCTCAGGTCATCAGAGACTCCTGAAAAGCCAAACTCCAGCAGATAAGGAAGGAAAGGCTCCTCTGGGGACAGCACAGGGACAGCTGGGCATGGGGACTGGGAATGTGGTGGGAGGCAAAAGCCACCTTCTCCTGGCCACAGTGTCTCCCTAAAGCAACTCCTCTGGGAAGCAAAAGATTATGGAAGAAAATTAGTGGGTAATAATGATAACAAGAGTAATAGTAACGTGGGGAAGAGCAGCAGGAATGCTGGTTTTTAATGGGGTGAGACAGCATCTCCTGGGATTTATAAAGCCCAGCTCCAGGTCTGGGACTAAAGGAGCAGTGTGAACTCGTGTTGTCAAATATCTGTGCTTGCATTCTGCCAGAGTTCCCCATCTCGAGGCCAGGCTGGGGTGCAAGTGCTCCAGCGCTGCTTCCTTGAGGGATCAGGAAAATGGGCATTAAAGCACTTCTCACAAGGCTGACTCTGAGCTCCGGCTGGGGAAAGCCTTTGGAACACCAGCCATCCCAATAAGATCACTTCCAATGATTTTGAAAGCGTGTTGAGTAAAAACTGATCCAGATAAATAAGCCTTTCTCTGTAAGGGCAGCCCCACAGAATGCACAGCTCTTCCTACACTTGTTCAAACCTACAAGCAGCCGGTTTTTGGTGAGGGATTCCAGATTTTTGTCTCCCTGCCTGGCTGTGCAGGCATTTAATAAGAATGTAAAATACAGACCCATTAAAACACTGCACTGCTGCTGGTTTCTGAACAGGCACAAGAGACCAGAACGTGATGGGTTTTCACTGCTCTGCTTGTTCCAAACCTGAGGCACAGCAGAATAAATACTTTATTTTTTACTGCACTTGCTTCCTGAAAATAAAGCACTTGCAGAGGCTTTGCTGAGCTTTCATACAAGCTCATCAGGACTCAGATAACTTGTGCCTAAATCTAAATTCCATTTCTATTAAGCAATTTGAAGCATCCTAAAAGCACCTGCGCTCATACTTTAATTTCATGCCTGCTGCCACCAATTAATTTTGCCCCCTGCTTCTTTAGGCATCCTCGTCTGGGAGACAAAATGTATGTGGAAAAAGGTTTGGAATGCTGCCTCCAAGTCAAGTTAGCTGCCTGGAAGTGAACCCAGCTCTCTTGTAGCTCAGCATGTTTCAGACACAGTGTGGTCCTTCTTGATTGCAGGCTTGCTTGCGAGCAGAGAATGAAACCATCCAACTGCACAGAAAACCATCTCGTGTTCATGAAATGGGGCTGGATTTGGATACGTGCAGGCATAAAGCCTGTGCCAGTTGGGAATGCTTTAATCCCTGTTTTCCAGAGCTGGAGTCAGTGACTTTTCAGTGATTGCTGCTGCCAGGGTGCACGTGAGCTTTATGCTTATTTCAGCACACAGTGCACCCAAAGCAGATAACAATGCTAACATAATAATAATAATAATAATATCATATTCCTTCAGCTCAATTGCAGGCAGATTAAAATGACCTCTCTACAAATATCTCTCAGGGCACAAGGAGGAGGAGGAGGATGGACTCAAACTCTTGGTGGGCTTGGCCTCACTTGGATTTGCTGAGCCACAACGGGACGTACACGTACCTGTACTTGGAAGGAAACGTCTCCTACGTGGGCTTCTACCTCCACCAGCCTTGGGTGGCTGCTGTCTTCATCACCTCCTTCCTCCTCATCTTCCTCCTCTGCACGGTGGGCAACGGGGGCGTTTGTTTCATCGTCCTGTGGAGCAAGCACGTGCGCAGGGTCACCAACCTGTTCATCCTCAACCTGGTGACTTGCTGGTGGGGCTCTTCTGCGTGCCCACCACCCTCCTGGACAACATCATTGCAGGTGGGCTGGGGAGAGCCAGGGCCACGTGTCCAGGGGGTTCTGTGGGCCTTCTGGGTCAGTGGAAGGTGTCCCTGGCCACGGCTGGAACCCCATGACCTCCCCTTCCATCCACATCGCCCCGTGAGTCTATAATTCTACTCAGGAAATGGGGGATGAGAGCGAATTTTTTTAAGCAGAGTCCTGCGATTCCAACCTCCTGTTTCCTTCCAGGGTGGCCCTTTGGGAGCCTGGTGTGCAAGATGAGCGGGATGGTGCAAGGCATCTGTGTTTCTGCAATTCCTGGCCTGCCTGGAATTGCAGGTTGGTTCCTCAGCCACGAAGCTGGATAGCAGAGGAGTTAGGCAGCAACTCATAGGGAGGATGAAGAACAGGAAATTTAAAATGTGTGTTCATCCCGGCCTGGGTAAGGAAGCCTTCCTTACACGGCTTCTCCGCTGCCCGTGCCGCAGGTTCCGGTGCATCGTGCATCCCTTCAAGCACAATGGCTTCTTCCACCTGGCTTCCATCCTTCCCATCTGGCTGCTGGCCGTGGCCACCACGCGTCCCTCGGCCGTGCTGCTGCGGGTGCGGGAGGAGAAGCGTTTCTTCTGGTGCCGGGAGGAGCGGCCGGAGCCGGCCATGAGGAGGATCTACACCACGGTTCTCTTTGCCAACATCTACCTGGCTCCGCTGTCGCTCATCGTGCTCGCGTACGCCGGGATCGGCCTGTCCCTCTCCCTATCCTCCATCTATCCCTTGGCTCACCGGCTGGCCTTCTTCAACAGCAGCGCCAACGCCCTCATCTACGGCTTCTGCAAGGAGAAATTCCGCCGCGGCTTCCGGGCCGTGCTCGGGCTCCGGCTCTGCTCCATGCCGGCCTGCTCCCAGCCATTCCCAGGCAATGCCGTCCTGCCCGCTGCGCCAGGATCCCGCTCCCCAGGAGGCAGAGAGAGGGAACTGGGTGAATAACCAGCAGGATTCGCTCGTGGAGGAGGTCAGAGGCAGGGGGATGGAGTGAAAGGCGCTGTGAGTCCGCGGAGCTCTCAGAGCAGCTGGAAAAGGGTTGCTGGATTCCTATTTACGGTGGCATTTCATTCCTGTGAGGAATCCCTTATCCTGTAACTCTCATGGACTGAAACGCTGCAGACACGGGATGCAACCCATCCCTGGAAGAAAATCCCTGGTGCTTCTTACCACCAGGTCCTGCTCAAATGACAAAATCAAACCTTTTCCGTCGCATTCCATTTATTCCCCTTTGTTGCTGCTGTTTCTGCCACATCCATTATTATTGCAGCTAGAGAGACAAATGGAAATCTGAGAAATAAAGGATTAAAAAAATGGGTTTGGCGGTGTGTTTTTTTGGGGATGATCTGATGCTGCAGGGGGTAGGAGTCACCCAACAAGACTGAAATTTCACTGTGGGCGGGAGAGGGGACACTTGGATGGGACAAACCTCAGCAGGGATAAGAGTGACACTGGAGGAATGGGATTTGTGCAAGGAGCAGCACAGGATCACAGAGCACTAAGGCTTATTCTGTAAGGCCTTACCAAAGCCATTCCCCAGGGCAGTGCTCCCTCAGGTAAATGGGATTGACTTCCACATCACGACATTCCCTGCTGTTCACTGTCTCAAAGTTATCACTCTCTTCCCTACACATTACCTAAATTTTATCCTCAAAGCTTTCTTGTTAGCTTTCTCCTCACAATGTCCATTTGCCCTAGGGTACAACTCAGACTTTAGGCCCAGGAGGAACATTTCTCCCACACGCCAACACCTTCACTCACTCCACCTCCGATTCAGGAAACCGAATCAGTGCTTGGTTCTGCCATAAAAGAGAGGAAAAGGGGATTTTGCTGGGATTTGGGACACGGTGTCTGCCCTCCCCTCACACGACCCCCGTGCTCGGCCGCGGGAGGCGGGAGCGAGGCTCGCCTCCCGCTGACCAATCAGCGCTGCGATCGCCTCACGGCGCCAGCCAATCCCGAGCCGGCCCAAGTTATATAAGAGCCGGTGCCTGAGGCGGCGTTTTGAATTTTCCGGTTTGGCGCTGCCCTTTCCTGCTTCGGTGAGGTAAAAATGCACTTTAATGTATCTATTTGTGATGTGTGGAAGTGGGAGTGATGTTTCAGTGTGGGATGTGCTGCGGGGCAGGTACTCGGTGACTCCAAGTAAAGCCATAGCAAGGAGAATCTCTTGATCTCTCTGAGTGTGCCTTGGCATCCCAGAGCCTCTCCCTGCAAATTATGAGGGGAATGTTTTCTAAATCGGTTGTTTACTGAGCTTTTTCGTGTTGAATTAATGAATTTTGCTCATTTCATGTCGCTTAAGCTTTGGGTGGCATTTCCCGCGGGGGTGGTGGAGTGCTGAGGGCTGCTGTCGATGCTGGGAGAGGCAATTGCCCTGAAAAGCTTTTCTATAAAACATAAGTATACGAAATAGTGGAGTTTCTGTGATAAGAACAGGACTTAGGCTCTCAGTAGAGAACTGGGGTGTGATGGGCAGGGACTGGGAAGCACGCAGGTTTTTTCTGCGTTAATTTCTCCAGCCATTGATTTCTGTCTGTTCGCAGCAGTAACTTCATCACTTGGAGCTGCATCATGGATGATATCCAAGCTTTTCTTTAGGCCTGACAGCACAACAGGGAGCAGAACCCAGCTTCAAGTGCGCTGAAACAATGCCAGGAAAACATAACTCCCTCAGAAAATAGCATAAAATAACGCATTATAAATGTCTTTATTTCAGCCTGCCACTACAGTTTGTGAATATGCAGCTGTGCTTACTGAGATAAGACACAGGTGATGTGCTGGCACTCCTGGATTAATGTGAATTGTTGCCAGGTGTTTTCCATCAGGCTCAGTTGCAGTGGAAAAGCTGGAGCCCTGAATCCTGGTGTCTAGTGAGTGTCCTGGTGGCCCTGAGCTGGTGCTGTGCTGCCACCAAGTCAGCCCATTCTCCTTAAAACTCTCTTGAAAAGTGCTGGAAGTGCTCGTGGAGTGTAAAACACGCGTGGGAAAGCTTTAGGGGCGTGCAGCTTCTGAACTACGCTGACATTTCGGGTTCCCACAGCCCCTCCTGCCGTGTCTTTTCCTCTCTGGCAGGAGGAAAACCCGCTTGGCTTTGCCATGCAGGGCTGCCCGAGGCTGTGAACTGCAATCCCCAGAGATCCTGAGGCTCCTGGATGAGTGGCAGCCTCAGGAAAGCCCTGCCTTAGCCTCAGATTTTTGTCAGCACTTAAAATTTAAGAAATCACTCCGGCCCACAAGTTCTAAGGATGGCAGAACAGCTCTGTTCACAAAATGAATTATTTATTAAGCAGACAGGAGACAACAGACGAATTAAAATTGGTCAAACAAGCCATTTTATTGTGTTGTAGATCGGGATGTTCCCCACTCTTTGAGTCTCAAAGTCATAGGAAAGATGAGATGAAAATCAGGATCAAAGGGAAGTTCTCAGAGTTAATTTTCCAGCTTCAGTTATTTTGAGGAGTTCAACAGATGGGCCAGGGGCTCCCTTCTCTTCCATTCAGGCTTCTTAGTCCAGGGTTCTCCTCCAGTGAATTTCAGTGTTGCACATTTCCTGGCTCAACCTACCAAGCATTAGGCAATCCTACAATCCTATACCTTAACCCTGAGGAGGGAGGAAGAGGGAGGAAGCACAAAACTGCTTCCATGACCTTGGGAAAACCCAGGTTTTGCTCAGGTTTTGCTGCCCATGGAGACAAGCAGGGTGTGCAGAGCCGAGCGCCGTGGGGAATGTGAAATACAGAGCTGTGTTTCGTGTCAGGTACATGGAGGCAACGTATCTGTGATCGTGATGTGTGTGGAAACCATTCTCATTTATAACAGCAGCAGGCTCGGGAATTCCCTTTTAGAAAGCACACAAACAGCGAGCACAGCTCGGCCCGCCCCTGAGCTGTGCTCGCCGCCACACGGGGGCACGGGAGGAGCGGTTTGGGAAAGCTGGGCTCGTTTCAGGGTCCCAAAACCAATCTTGGCCAACCGGAGCGGTTTTGGTGCTTCTGGCGTGCCAGGCCTGCGTGGTTTTGTTCCCCTCTCGCCGTGTGGGAATGCCGTGCCGGTGTCAATGCTGGTTTAGCTCCCCTGGTGCCGCGCTGGGTGTGGGTTTGGGCCGTGCCTGGCCGCAGGGAAAGTCGGCAGGTTTGGCTGCTGTGGCGTCCCAGCCCTGTTGTTTTTTGTCACTTTGTTTCTGCAGAGAGGAAAAGCATCCCAGCTTGGCTGGCAGCAGAGCCCAGGCCTGAGGCTGCTCAGCGTTGGTGTGACCCACTGGTGGTGTCACCTGCCCTGGGCACAGCCACCACAGCTGCCCAGAGCCAGGAGCATCTAGTGAGAGATCCAGGAGGATGCAGCTCTTGTTTCCAAGGAGGTAAGAGTGCAGGATGTGGAAGGGGTGTTTTCCAGGCAGGGAAAGAGGGTTGTCAGGGAGAATTTCAGCTGGCAGCAGCTGTGTCCGTGCTGGATGGGCTGCCAGGACATGGCTTGGTTCAGTGCTTCTCACAGCCTGTACAGGAGCTGGAATTCCAGTGGCACCTCACAGATGGCTCGTGGTGTTCCCCATGTGTGCCAGTGCTGTCCCATGTGAGGAGCAAAGGGATTGCAGCACCAGTCTGGAATGATGTTCCTATGGCACAGGCATTTCTTCCCAGCAGGTTGTGGGATGTGAGGCACTGCTGACAGCAGCAAAGCACTGACAGGGTCCCCGCTGTGCAGGGAGCAAAACGCTGACCTGGAAATCCAGCCTGGGCACGCTGAGGCTGCAGAAGGAGCTCTGTGGCCATTTCCATGCCCTGAGCTGACATGGCACCACAAGGCCCGGGACTCAGGTGGATCCACAGCTGGCTCTGAGCTGGTACAACGGGCACTGGACACAGGAAGCTGGATGGGAAGATTTGGGTCAGTCTGGAAACTTCCCTGAGCCCCAAGGATTGTGGCAAGTGTAGCACTGACAGCTCCAAATTAGGAAAAATCAAAAGATGAACTGGTTCTCCACAAACTCAACTGTCAAAATTATTTTTCAGGATAATATAAGACTGAAAGGAGCTTGGCAGGAAAGCCCCTGTGAAACAAAGCACAATGGGAATACCTGTGAGCAGGGACTCTAAGGAATTCCTGCTGCTCCTGCTGTCCTGGTCTTTTCCAGGTAGGTTTTGTACGGAATTGAAAGGCAGTTTTCTTGCCTCTGGTGAGCTGCAGCCACATCCCCCTTGAAGAAGAAAATGTGGAGGGAGTGGCAAGCAGGAAGGTGGCTTTTAGAGCACCACACCAATTGCTGCAAAAGGAAAAGGAAGCCAGCAGCCTGGAATTGGATGTCCCTGGCCCCTGCCAAGCACAGGGGCTGCTGCTTGGTGTTTTTTCTCCAAGTGTTTGTCCTGTACTGTCCGTTCAGGGCTCATTCCCCACTGTTCCATCCAATAAAAATCATGTAGAAGGGCACTTATATATTTAATATGGCTGCCACCTCTCATTTTTTAAATGAAAAGCCCTATAATGAGCAATAAGAACAAATATGTGAAAGCCAGGAGCTTTTGACTCGCACAGCGGACTTAATTTTCCTTTTCTTCTCTCTTTCAGGACAGGAAAAATCATTTAAGTGGACCCAGCTCTGCCAGAACCTTTGGTTTTGGGTGGGATTGAGCAGCCAAAGCCCAGAGCCTGCAGCCCTGATGGCCTGGGGTAAGTCAGAAGGACACACTTCCCTTTTCCTGGCTGTTGGGATTAGCTCACTGGGAAATGTCAGCACAGCTCTGCTCTTTACTGGGCTCTGGGTAAAGCTCCATTTTCCCTTGTGGTCAGGGATGTGCTGTCCAAGGGCTTGGGGATTCCAAGGAGGTCAGAAAAGGAGGGTGTGAGGTGCCAGAGCTGTGTCCCATCAGGCTGTGTTTGTCTCTGAGAAACCCATGCCAGCAATTTTTACAGAGGAAAAAATATTAGCAATTACTTTTGATCCCTTGGGGAAGTTTCTTTGGAATTAGCAACTGCAGAGTGTATCAGTGGAGAGCATTTCCTTTGGCTCTTTTCCTGGTTTGTCATTTCCTTTCTGGTTTAAATTAATTTTTTTGTGCTCCTGTTAGGGAAACAACATGTTTTTACCTTCAAATATGGGGTGGTTTTATTTGTTTAGGTTATTTGCTTATGGGTCAGAGAAGGAAGTGAAATTACATTTTAGTATATTTTCCCAAACATAAAGTGGGATGTTGTCCTGCCACTCCCCAAACCACTCCAGGCACCTGGGAGCAGCTCAGAGCTGGCAGAGTTGCAATGGAATTTAAGATAAACTGAGGGAGTCAGTAGGGAACAGACAGGGAAAATTTTGGGGGGTAAGACTTGGAATAACCTTTAGGGCAGAGAATTAACATTTTTGAGGTAAAAATGAAGTAATCAGTAGTGGACAGATAGGGAAAATATTGTGAGTGAAGCTTTAGTTAATCTGTAAGGGGAAGAATGAGCATTTTGAGGTCAAGTGGGGTAATACATAGTGAAGTATTTTCCATAAGTAGGGAAAATTTTCAGAGCAAACTTGGGGCAGTCCACTGGGCAGAGAAGGGATGATTGGAAGTAAACTGAGGCAATCAGGAGTGCACAGGTAGGAAGATTTTGTCAGTAAAATCTGGGATAACATCTAGGGCAGAGCATGAATATTTTGAGGTCAGCTCAGGTAATCAGCAGTGTCCAGCTAGGGGGGTTTTTGGGATTGCTCCCGAGTAAGGTACAATGAAAACTTTGGAGGTGAAACCCTTGGTAAAATCTCTGTTCATTTCACCTGCCTGAATTCCTTGTAGCTCCCAGCTGGGAAAACCTGGCATAACTTAGAGGGGACAGAGGTGACACTTTTGGCAGAAAACTTGTGGAATTTAGAGGGGACCCAACATGTGTTTGTGTAGGAAAATGTGAGGGGATGTGGAGGGAACCAAGGTGGCATTTTTCAGGGAATAGCTATGGGGAGAGAATGCACATTTTGGGGTCAAAATGAGGGAATCAATAGTGTGCAGAAAAGAAAATTTGGGAGGTAAAACATGGGATAATCTTGATGGTAGAAAACATTCAATTTATTGTAAAAAATGGAGTAAGGAGTAACAAAAGGAAATTTATGGGGGAAAAGCTTGAGGTACTTTTTGGGAGAGAGAATGAATATTTTGAGGGGAAAATGAGCTCATCAGAAGTGGACAAAGAGGGAGTATTTTGGGGGAAAAACCTGGAGTAATCTTTTGGGGAAAAAAATGAACATCTTGAGGTAAACTGAGGTAACAAGTAGTGCAAAGGTAGCGATATATTGGGGGTTAAACTTGAGGTAATCTCCAGTGTAGAAAATAAATATTTTGAGGTAAAACTGAGGTAAATCAGTAGTGGCCAGGTAGGGAAAATCTTGGTGAAATTGGTGATAACCTCTAGCAGAGCCAGTGAAAATTTTGAGTTAGGTAATCAGTAGCAAACATGAGGGGAATATTTGTGGCTGAAAACTGAGATAACCTCCAGGGTAAGGAATGAACATTTTGAGGTAAACAGGTGGAATCAGCAGGGCAGAGACACGGGAAATTTTAGGGGTGAAATTGAGGTGATCTGTAGAGGAGAGAAAACAGCATTTTGAGGTTAAAAGTAATGGACAGGTAGGGAACATTTCAGGGGAAAATCCTGAGGTAATCTGCAGTGGATAGAATGAATAATTGGGATAGGATAGTGGGGGGTTTTGGTGGGAAAATAGAAGTAATCTATAGAGATAAAATGAATGTCTGGGAGTTCAAATGTGAGTTAACCTGTAAAGGAAGGGCTGAAAATCCTGAGGTAAAAATGAAGGTGGTCATTAGCAGAGAGGCATGGAAAAATTTGGGATTAAAACTTGAGGTGGTGTAGGGGAGAGAATGAGCACTGTGAGGTAAGATGAGGTAATTAAATGTAACAGGTAGGAAAAACCTTGGGAAAAACTCAAACCTGAGTCTGTAAAGAAATAAAATTTTGAGGTGAAATCAGCAGTATACTGCTAAAGTGAAGTTTTGGCTTTAAAATTTGAGATAATCCATAGGGAACAGAGAACATTTGGGTGGATAACCTGAAGTAATCTGTAACACAGAGACAGAATGAATATTTTAGGGATTAGATAGAGATAAATAGTGGAGGGTTTTGGTGGTAAAATCCAAGTCATCCATAGGGGTCAAGATTAACAATTTGAGGGTAAAATGGAGGTATTTTGTAATGGACTGAATGAACATTTTGAGGTAAAAAGGAGGATGTCGCTGGTGAATGTGTCAGGATAATTTTGGAGTAAAACTTGAGCTGCTCTGTGAAGTACAGTTAATATTTTGGGGGGAAAATGTCAGGCCGCCTGTCCTGGCATTGATGAGGTTCCTGGGAATCCATTACATTGTTCTCATAGAAATTTGCACAGGTTTTGGAGCTTATGCATTTCTTCCTTTGGATTGTTCCCTCTGCAGGATTTGGGGTTTATTGGGGTTTTAACTCCCTCGTGGTGGCCCTGGCACTGCTCAGGAGCTGGTAGGAAAAGCTGGAACTGGGGTGGGAGGACCAGGGAGACAGAGTGGGATAAGGGGGAGAGAGAGAGGGGAA